AGCCACTCAGCAGCCTCCACAGATGAGTCCTCAGAGCAGCACTGTGTGGTTGATGCGTCTCCCCTGGGAGGTGGGCCGGCCTCTCTAGCACTTGGGCAGGCTCATCCTCTCCAGAACTTTGTGCTCAGCCATCCCGCACCCTACTCAATGGAGCAAGGGGACACACTGCTCCAGGGAGATCTCTGCCCTTCAAAGGACACTGTGCCTGCTGGGTACAGCCCACCCTGAGCTGCTCCTCTGAGTCTGCTGGTGCAGCCCAGAAGGGTGGGAGGGGCCTCGGAGGAAGAAGCCCTGGCTCATAGTTGGAGGACCAGAGTTAAGAGTCTTGGTTTTGTCATGTACCAGCTTCGTGACCTTAAAGTCAAGTCACTTAGCAGCTCCAAGACTCTTTGCTCAGCTCAGAATGACTGGGAAAGAGGGAGGTAGAGTGGGAAAACATAAGTGAAAGTGCTTTGCAATCTGCAAGGAACTGTTAGAATGTCAGAGAATGTCAATTCCAGTGGAAATAGCCCTGGGCTAGGAGGCAACAGTATCTAGCATGGTACTTGGCACACAGCAGGTGTTAAACATCTGAACAACTTACTTCCCAAAGCCCAGTAAGAGCTGAAGCAGAGGAAACAGGGCTCAGCTTCAAAGCAAGAGGGACTGTGGCTAGACACAAGAAAGAACTTCCTGTCAGGTTGGTGAGACGCTGTAGCCAGCACAGATGAGGACTGCAGGACAATCTTTGCCTGGGCATATTTACAGCCTGTCCTCTGTCTCTCAACATTCTCGCTGGGTGCCTGGGGTGTGCCAGTTCAGTCCTGCCTGAGTGGGCTTGTGGCAGAAATTTCCGGGGGAGAATCCTTGATTCTGTTATACCTTTCAATGCTGCGAGGATGCTACACGAGGAGGGCCACCTGGTGGAATGCAACATACCCCAGCTCTGTTCCGTCACATGCTAGCATCCTGTGAGCTTTGAGATCGGCATCCCTTGGTGGGCATATGATCAAACCTATTTGGAAGATGCTGAGGCAAATAGTTGTTTTGGCCACAGGACAACTCAGGGTGTCCACGCTAATGTGTGCTGAAAATCTCCACGAGGGAGAGAGAGAACGAAGTGTTATCTAAACACTTCTCTCTTTTTTTAGCCACAAAATGCTTTGTCCATCAAACCCTTATGATCTAAAACAATGCTGTCCAGTAGCACTTTCTGTGAAGACAGAAATGTTCTATATCTGTACTGTCCACACGTGGTTATTGAGCAGTTGACGTGTGGCTAGAGAGACTGAGGAACTGGACTATACATTGTATTAAACTTTAAGATGGGGAATTCCAACATTTCCAAACCCACTGGGTTGTTGTAATAATTAAATAAGGTATCCAAAAAGCATACATAGTTGGGACTCAGCTACTTTGTTTCTTGGGTAGCACAGAGCAAATAATCGCGTTGTGTTGAATAAATGAATGCAGGTACAAGTGGAGTCAGTAAGGTGCAGAGGTCCCGTAAAGAAGATGGTTCTGACCCTTGGCAGGGAGGGGGCTTTTGTTTTCAGATGCTGTAGGGATTCCAGGACGGAGGAGGGACTTACACTGCAGAGCAGTTCTGAGGAGCCATAGAGAGGAGCCTTATGGAGATGGCGAACCTCTTCCAGTGCAGCCCACCCAGACCCGCAGGGGAAGACCTGCACAGGTGAGCCACATGACACAGACGCCTGCATCTCGGGCTCCGGGCCCCAGTGGTAGCCAGTAGCCAGCACCTGTCTGACTGTGTGTGGTGCACAGCTGTCACCGGGAGCACACAGATGCACAGATTTGCTGGAATGTGCTGGCTTCAATTAGCTAAATCTCATAAACACTAAATTTATGTCGCAAGTTGAGAGTCAGAGAAAATGCATTTCTAAAACCTGCATTTGCAAAAACAAACAAACAAAATTTATCTGACCTTGGACCTTGTTCCATCAGAAAAATCTACTCTCTGAGGAAAGAAGCTCTTCAACCCATCAAGGACAAATGCATCTAATTTTATGTTTTCTCTCTCTCTCTTTGTAGCTCCTCAACAATGAGGCTGAAAACGTGGGAATTGCGTTTGCAGATGCCAAAAGGCTTGGTGGTTGGCCAGTCTCCCTGTAACTGAGCTCCTCTCTGTTCCGCGCATGCACAGGGAGTTCTGGCAAAGGGTGTTCCTGGACTGCCCTCTCTCTTTCACCTACACACAGGGAAAACAGCCAAGGACACTCAGGAATCCCCGAACCCTTTGGTTGTCCTTCCCACAATTGGAAGGAGCCCGCCCCTTCTTGGCGTATCATCTGCAGCCGGGGGGGCAATTCAATCAGGTTGAAATCAACAAGATCTGACCATGTCGGGTGGAGCCAGCCTGGGGAAACTTACATTCTGCTTTGGCACAGATGAGGCAGGCGGTGGTGCAATTGAAGAAGTTCAGGATCCCAGCTACAGCCACGCTGATGTCAGTGCTGCTGGGGTGGAGGTTCAGGGTTGTGAATCTCTGGAACTGGAACTTGATAAACTCCTCCGGGGCCACTTTGAAATGAGGGACCTGGGCGGAGGAGCAAAAGTGGGCAGCAGGGAAGATCCGGACCCAGCGAGACAAAAAGAAAAGAGGGATGAGTGAGACAAAGCTGCAGAGGGTGGCTTCTTTTGTAAAAGACCTTTGCCTGGCAAGAGATGGAATTTGCAAGACTCGGGGCACCCACTCCACAGGAGGAAGACGATGTGGCATCCATGACAACGCGTGAGACCCAGAATGGGAAACCCTTCAGCCGGGGACCTGGATAAATGTACTGTGGACCTTGGAGCTGGGGTCTGTGGCCCTGAGAAGACAAAACAATAGGTCTTTATTCTCAGAAGAACTGCCCGCTGCTGGGCAGACAGACAGATGGCTCTTGAAGGCATAATCCTTATACTATTTGATGTGTGGTTAATGAATCAGAGCAGAGATGCCCTGGGGACTAAGGGAGGGGCCCCCTCAGCCCAGCCTAGCCAACAGATAAATAAACCAGCTCCCATCCTGGCTAAAGGCCTGGGATGGGTTCCTCCGTAGACTTACGTGAGGAGGGGGAAGCGCTTGCAGGCTGGGAAACCATCTAGAGGGCCTCCGGATGGAGCCTGGTAAATAAATACCTGCTATGGCCTCATTAGGACAGTGTCAGCTTCCCTCTGCATCTATTCCTGACATTTCAGGGAGGCACTGCCCCTGCCTTCTGCCTCTCTTCTCCAGGAAAGAGATATTAACAGGCTGGAATGGCTGCTTTACCGGAAGCTTAGGCTACTGGGTAGGTAATAGGAAAGTTAAAACGTAATAAGCTGCCATCCACCTTGATTTTATTATGTCACCCTGGTGCCTAGAGCCAGAAGAGCTAAAGGCTGCTTGTGCCTCTATCAGAGATGGGGCTGAAACCTCAACCCTCATCCTCACTTAGGGTGCCCAGTGTGAGGGCCAGATTATTGTGAGCATGGGTTTGGACTGATGTGAAAGCGAGTAAGATTGAGGGTGGACAGCACGAAGAACTTCCTGATGGTGAGTTGGTTGGTTCCTAGCATGGGTTATTCAGACATGATTGCAGAAGTCTTCCCTGCCTGGGCTGGCCCAGAGTCTGGGATGACATTGACACGGTCTCTGTAGGATTCTGCTACCTTATCCTTTTAAGCTTCTGAAAGAAGTCAGCCAGAGACCAGAGCTCGTCTGAGACTGGGATGAGGGGAGGGTAAAGATTTAGCAGAAACTCGGGAGAAAATTCCTGAATTCAACTAGGATTAGCCCTTGAACCAGAGAGAGAGGGCAACCAATATTTTTTAGCAGAGACCGAAAAGCATAGCACTGGGGAGAGAGACTGGTGAGTAACGACATTAAAGAGCGATGTTGACCTGGGGTGTGTCCTAAGGGGTCTTTCTTCCCCTATTTTGCAACGCTTACAATCTGTCTAAAATGAATAACAAATGCACCTTGAAAGGAAAAAAGGTCACAGAAGGGTCAGATGGAGGCCAGGCTGGGCAGGGGCAGGGTGGCCAGGCTGGCTGGCTTACACATCTGAGCATCTCTGCCCAAGGCCCTCTCCGTGTGGCCATCCAGCCTACCGGGTTCCAGCAGCAGCTAACTTACCCCCCCATAGAAAGTACCCTTAGAGATTCCCTTGGATCCACCAATCCCAGAGATGAAGCAGGCAAAAGGCTCAGGAAAGCGAAGACTCAGGAAAATGCGTTTTAGAGTCTACAGTCCTGGGTTTGCATCTTGGTTCTGCTGTGTGATTGGGGCAAACTGCTTAACCTGGCTAAGCTTCATTAACATGGAGAAACAACAGGTGCTTCTTGAGCTTTGGGAGAACAAAACGAGGCCCTGTATGTGAAGGATGTGCTAGTTCAGTTCCTAACATGTGGGGTAAGTGTTTAGGCAATGCCTTTTCTCATTCCCTTCCCCCTTTCTCCCCAAATCTTGAAGCTCCTGCAAAAGCTCTTAGGTCTGTACGTGCAAGGGGTGAGGGCTGAGGGGCCTCCCTAAGAAGGGGAGCTGGTGCAAAGTCTCCAGCACAGCCTGGCATCTTGAAGGCTGCTGGGAGGCAGCCAGCTGCTCTGATGGGCCCCGGAAGGGATGGCCAGGCCAATCCTGCTGAATCTGTCTCTGGGACAGAGATCAATCCAAGACGGATCTGCAGGTGCAAATGCATCCCCAGAAGTCATCATGGAGGGGTGGGGGGATGGAGAGGTGAGCGGCATGGAGGGGAGGGCAGCAAGGCAGAAAGCAGCCAGCCACAGGGGCTGCAGACATCTTAGCAGCATTTAAAAGAATGAACTCCTCAGTGAGAACTCCATTTCTTTTCCCTGAAGCTGAAGGGAATCAGTGCGAGGCAGTTCAGCCTCATAAAATAGTAGAAGTGCAAAATCTGAATGGAGAGGGAAGGTTGCTCTGGAAGGAACATGACCAGACAAAGGAGGGGTAACCATCTGGCCATTCCCTGGGCAGCACAGCCTGCCTGGCTGGTCAACGGCACAGGGTCCGGGGCGGCGGGATGGGAAGATGGGTGCAAATCAGGGTCTCCACCTCCGGCCTGAAATGCCAAGCAGGGTTAAGGGATGTGTTCGCTGAGATAAAATAGCTGCTGAACACTAAGAGGAGGCCATTCTGGAGTGGGGACTTGGGGGGCGACTGTAGGGGACAGGGAGGAAAGTTTGCTGGGGAAGAGGGAGAGGGGGGACAAAAAGGAGAGAGCAGAAAAGAGGAAATGGGCAGCCGAAGTCTTGGCAACCTCATTTGGTGAAGATCAGAGCAACCGGGAAATAACAACCTGCCACAGATCTGAGCTGTTATGTGGAGCCTGGCAAGAAAGATTTAAATTAAGCAGCAGGTCTACCTTGCAGGGGCCCAGGCCTGGGAGATGCTGGAAGGGACTGCAGTGGGACAGAAGCTCTTTTTTTTTGGCCTGGGCTGGCTCGGGAGTCATCTTTCAGGACATCTGGGAGGAAGGATGGGGAGTCGTCAACACAGACCCTGCGCGTGGCCTGAAGCTCAAGGATTCAGCCTACAGGGCAGTGGTAAGTAAGACCCCTTGCAGGACTGGAGCTAGGACCGCAGGGCACTCTACTGTGCTGATAACAATTCCTAGAGTGTGTTCCTAAAACAAAGAAGACCAGTATTCTTCCCAAAGCCGCAGGGACCAAGCCCTCTGATCATAAGAGAAGTGGGAGCATCAAGGGAGTGGCTTCCAGAGGGCCTGGGCTAAGCAGGGGCCTGTCTATTGCTCCACTGCCTCGGTGAGGGCAGCTCACTAAGGAGGTGCCCCATCCTATTGCAAGAACTGGACCCTCCCAAAGCTAACGCTTCTGGAAGGCTGAGCCTCTAGGCTCCCAGGACAGGTGCCAATTTTGCCCTTCTGTCTCCTGTCCCTCCGCCCTGCCCCTCCACAGCTCCTGACCATCAAACTCCATCTGTTCCCCAAAGACCTGGCTAGAAGGCCCTTGGGAGGCTATGGGGTCACCTTGCCACTGTCTCCCAGGAATGTATCTGAAAGGGGAAGGACTGATTGATTCCAAGAAGGACTAGGAAAGATTCCGGCAATAGAATCTCTGAAGTTTCCAATTTGTTTCCTCTGGGGGAAAAGGAGGGAGAGAGTTGCTGGAATAGGGAGCAGGCCATCTTTATCTCCCAGGGAACGAGGGCTAGAGGGAATGGACCCAACACTTTGGAGAAGTAAACCCTGGAATTGGTGAATGAAGAAGAAAGCGAAATAAAATCTCTTTTCTAGAAAACTTACAAAACAGAGGTTTTCAAACTTTATTTCAGCACTAAAATGTAGCAAGGCCTCGCCCCAAAGGCATTCTTCCCCAGAATCCCAATATCTAAACAGAGACTCCGCAGCTGTTCCTGTGGAGCTCAGACTTCTGCCCTCTTGGCCTCCCCTGGACCACCACCCTCCCCAGCCTCTCCCTCTACCTGCCGCCTTCAAGGGACACCCCCTTCCCCTGTCACAGGACCCCAAGACTCGGAGGGGCTCAGCTTGAAAATCTTATGAAACTCTTCCTCTGAGTCCCCTCCATCCAAGCAACCTGAAAAAAGTAAGTGACCAACAAAGGCCCAGTTCTTTTATTGGTATTGATGTTATTAGTGACACCAACCAGACTTGATTCACTCTTCCAGCCCTTAAGAATCCATGATCTCTTTGGGCCTGGGGCACAGGCTGCCAGCCTGCAGAGAGCCCCCCAACCCTGCCCAGCACTCACCTCCTTCTCCCCACAGATGTTGCTGATGATGGAGCTGGAGGCCGGGCTGGAGGATGGTCCCAGGACAGCGACCACCCCCTTGGGAAGGATCTGACACACTGCAGCCAGCGGCAGGGGCAAAACGTGGGGAGCAGGAAAGGAAACAAGGCGCTCATCAGGTGGGGCGTGGGCTTCGGCCTCGAGTCCTCCGATCTTCCCCCCGCTGGCCCCTCACCTCCCGCCCAGCCCCGTCCCCGTCCTGGTCCCCCCTCCTATTCTTCCAAACCCAGTGCCTCTCCTCCCCTGGACTACTGGGCTCCAGGACAGTTTTATTGGAGTTTATGGATGGTATTAAATGAGGAAATGACCCAGGTTATGACAACATACGGCCTCGGCCAACGGGGTGTATAAATTGTCTGGGCTGTCACCGAAGGACGGAGGCGCACAGTGGAAACCTGCACGCCCCACCCCCTTTCTGCCTAGCCTGCAGGATGGGTGCTGGGAGCCCGGGCATGGCTGCTGCAGGGGCTGTGGGTCCAGCTCACAGGACGGCCAGCCAGCATGCAACCTGTTAGCCCCCGCAAAGAGAAAGAAAGAGAGTCTAGAGAGGAAAAAAGGTAGACAAGCAGAGAGAAAAAGGATAGTGAGGATGAGGCAGGCAGAGAGAAGAAAGGAGCTCAGCTAAAGTCAAAGGGAACAGGAGAGAGAGAGGAGAAGGAAGAGAGAGAGTGAGTGGCCGAGAGGGCCCGCATCTTTCAATGCCACCCTGCTTTCACCTGGCCTGGAGCCTGGTGCTCCTGCTTCCCTGAGCCCATCACATGCCTTCCTGACCAACTGGCACGCTCTGTGACCTTGTACCTCCCCCTGGGGAAGGCGCCCTTCCCTCCTCTACCCCGGACGCTCACTCACCTGTCAAGAAGCACCTCAAATGCCACCTTCTCCTTACCCCTCCCGCAACTGCTTTAAGTAGAATCCTTCCTCCCTGGGGCTCCGAGGCCCATGGATTTTCCCTCTGTTCTAAGACACTTGTAAATGTGTCTGTTTCAGTTTGTTGTTTAGATGTGTTTCTCCTCTCACTAGATTTCAAACCTCTTAAAGGCCAGAGCTGAGACGCATTTATCTCTAAATCCCCACTTCGCATTTCCCTGGTGTCCAGCACAATGTTTTCTAAGCGCCCAGTTCATGTTTGTCCAATGAATGAGTGGATGGGTAGGACACGCAGTCAGAAGAGGAGAGAATGTAAGATTTTAAAATGCTACATCCTTTCGAATTATGGTTTTCTCCAGATATAGGCCCAGGAGTGGGACTGCTGCGTCGTATGGTAGTTCTATTTTTAGCTTTTTAAGGAACCTCCATACTGCTCTGCACAGTGGCTGTACAAATTTACATTCCCACCAACAGTATAGGAGGGTTCCGTTTTCTCCACACCCTCTCCAGCATTTATTGTTTGTAGATTTTTTTTTTTTTTTTTTTTTGCGGTACGTGGGCCTCTCACTGTTGTGGCCTCTCCCGCTGCGGAGCGCAGGCTCCGGACACGCAGGCTCAGTGGCCATGGCTCACGGGCCCAGCCGCTCCGCGGTATGTGGGATCTTCCCGGACCGGGGCACGAACCCGTGTCCCCTGCATTGGCAGGTGGACTCTCAACCATTGCACCACCAGGGAAGCCCTGTTTGTAGATTTTTTGATAATGGCCATTCTGACCGGTGTGAGGTGATACCTCATTGTAGTTTTGATTTTACAATAGCCAGGACATGGTAGCAACCTAAATGTCCGTCGACAGAAGAATGGATAAAGAAGATGTGGTACATAGATACAATGGAATATTACTCAGCCATAAAAAGGAACGAAATAATGCCATTTGCAGCAACATGGGTGGACCTAGAGATTGTCATACAGAGTGAAGTAAGCCAGAGAGAGAAAGACAAATATCGTATAATATCGCTTATAAGTGGAATCTAGAAAAATGCTACAGATGAACTTATTTGCAAAGCAGAAATAGAGTCACAGAGGTAGAAAACAAACTTACGGTTACCAAGGAGGGAAGGAGGGGGTGGGATGAATTGGGAGATTGGGATTGACACATATACACTATTGATACTATGTATAAAATAGATAACTAATGCGGACCTACTGTATAGCACAGGGAACTCTGCTCAGTGCTCTGTGGTGACCTCAATTGGAAGGAAATCTAAAGAAGAGTGGATATATGTATACATACAGCTGATTCACTTTGCTGCACAGCAGAAACTAACAAAACATTGTAAAGCAACTATACTCCAATAAAAATTACTTTTAAAAAATGTTACAGACTGAGAAAGGAAGGGGGGAAGAAAAGGAGAAAACAGAGAGAGAGAGAACGTAGGACAGTTCTCAGCACACACATGGTGATATCAGAACCACAGAGCTGCCCCTCGGATTATACTCTGTGGTTCCCAGTCTCGCTATGAGACGTCCTTCTCTGCAAACCTCAAAGCTCATCTCTGGACACATTTTCCTCCTACTCACATCAAGTGTCAGGTCAGTACAGTGAGGTTAAGGAATCAGTCCAAGCATCCTTCCCGAGCCAGCTGCAAAGCCACACCTGCAACTGGTGCTCTTCCTCCTAAAGCAGAGTCCTAACCACCGGCCCATACAGCCAAGTTATGGCTCTAATGGGGCACAGGCGGTGGGGTAGAGCACCAGGGTTCAAATCCCGGTGCTGTAATTTATCACACAAATGACAGACCTGTAATTTATCACACAAACGATAGACCTGTGGGGTCTTCTTTCAGCCTGAGGCTCAGGCGGGGGTCCTTTAACATCGTGGATCTCAGCTGACTGACAGGTTGCCAGCAGTGGGTGCCTGAGGGGGACTCAGTAGTACCAAGTGTCAGAACCATCCCCAGCAACAGAGTAACTGTGGACAGGCTTTACCTTTGAAGAACACTCTTCAAAGTTCAAGCTACTTCCGTGGCTTGAACAGAAGTAGCTAGGGGCTGCTAGGGGCTGTAAATTCATTGGCCATCAAATTCCTATTCCTACAGCAGCCTCGGGGGTGGAGCTTAGCTCCTGATTTTACCTATAAGGCAACAGCATCCTAGGGATGTTAAGTGACTCCCCGTAAAGTCACACACCTAATAAAGGTCTGAGCCAGCGTTGGAATTCAAGTCTGCCGACCCCACCCAGTGTTCGTCCCACTACCTGTTCTGTCTGCCCTACTCCTTGCAGCCACTTCGCCCATCTCTTTTCAACCCCAGACCACACCCCATCTTGTTCTGCTGCACCTGCTTCCCCAAGGTCACCAGTGTCTCTTAGCAGTTCTTATCTCTCTTTTTGTAGCATTTGCATTGTTCTTTTGAATTTCATGACACTATCCGGTCCTGATTCTCAGCCGCTTCTCTGATTGGTTTTTCTCACTTCCTTAGCCAACTCCTCTTCCTTCTCCTCTCCACTAAATTCAGATTTTGGCCATGCCTCACTCTCCCTGGGCAATCTCGACCTTGCCTGTGGACTCCACATCTCATCTCTGCCCAGGTGCTCCTACACCCTGACCCATGTCCTGGGTTACAAAACGCGTTCCACCTACCTGCTGGGCGTTGCCACAGGGACTTCCTTCTGGTGTCTCTTCCAGAGAGAGAGGCAGAAAGGCAGAAAGCACAGTCCTTAAGAGCACGAACTCTGATGCAAGTTTATCTGAGTGTGAGTCTTGACTGGGTCACTTACTAGCTGTGAGACCTTGAGCAAGTTACCCAAACTCTCTGAGACTGCTTTCTCATCTATAGGACTGGGATGCTAACAGCACCTCTCCCGCAGGGATGTCGTGAGAATTAAAGTGAGTTAATACATACAAGGCACTTAGAGTGGTACTGATGTGCTACAGGACTCGTTATTATTATTCCCAATACAGCATGTCTGTTATATACTTTTCATACATAATCTAATTTGATCTCCACACTGTCAGGAAGACTCATTATTATCCCCACTTCACAGATGGTGAAACTGAGGCTTAGAAAATTTAAGTGCCTTGTTCAAGGTCACACAGGTCATATATGGTAGAGCTGGGCTTGAATTTGGAGATCCATCTGGCATCTTAACCACTTCACTTTACCCCCCTTAGCTCCTGAAGTTCAAACCGTGGTCGCCCTTGCCTCTTCCTTACCTTTCCTTACTGCATCTACTCACTCGCTATACCAATCAGGGGCCAGGTTCTGACCATTTGACCTGCTCACCCCCCACTATCCTTTCCTTCCCACTCCCACTGTCACAGATCCGTCAGCCCCTTCTGCTACCTGCCTCCTAAGGGCTTTCTCCGTCTCCAGGATTCTTCATTTTCCACTCTGTTCTCCAAAGCGAGGCCAATTATAATCCTAAACGCAGGTCCGTGTGCTCCTGCAGGGCAGAAAGCTTGTCTTATTTATCTCTGTGTCCTCCATGCCTGGCACAGGGCTGGACTCAGAGTTAACGTGCTCAGTAAATAGCTGTTGAACCACACTGAAGCCCACTCAACTCTTTTTATAGAAAATTGGAAATAATCTAAATGTCCAATCATAAGGCAAGAGTTACGTAAAGTGTGGGTCATATAGCCAAGTGGAATATTACTTAGGCATTTAAAATGCTTATGAACAGTTTATAATAATCTTAAAAATATTTATGTAATAATACTAAGAGCAAGAAGCAGGATATAAAATTATATGTATATCTACATGAAGGCTACAACTAAGCAAATACAGAAAATTGTTATGCACTGTGGAGTGACTGGAAGAAGAGGTTATAAAAGCCCACATTTATTAAGTGCTACTTATGGCCCATTCTAAGCACTTTATGTGAATTGACTTATTTAATTCTGGAAACAACCTGATGTGATAGACACTGTTACTGTCACCCTCATTTAACAGACAAGAAAACAGAAAAGTTAAAGGGCAGAGTCAGGATTCAAACTCCCGACCTCTCACTCCAGGGTCAGCTCCCAACCACTGCACATCTCCTCCCACTTCCCGCCAGCTCACTTGGAACACACTCCAGATTTTCCTACCTGAACCTATTCCCAAGTTGTTCTCTCTGACTAGACCAGGGCTCTTAACCTTCTGCCTGAGATCTGTGGGCAGAAGTCAGTGGTCTGTGAACATTCTGGGGGAAGAAA